CTATGTTTCTATGCAGTGTTCCTTTTGTTTGTGGATTAGCTTATCATTTTTTTCCCTTTGCTGATATTTTGGTTTTTTACTATCTTCCTGAAATTTTCTTGTTATTTCAATAATTTTTTTCCTTTCCATTTTCTTTGGGGTTACCAAGTTACTTAGTTATTGTTCCTCATATTTAAGTAGTCTCTTCTCTTCCTGTTTGTCTCCATTAGAAAGTTTTGTATTTACCATTTCCCCTTTCTTTTCTTTGTGTATGTTTTCATTGCAGATTAAAATTTCTGGCTCCCAGTTTTCAGTTGTGTAATTTTATTTTATTTCAAATACTTCTTTTCAGTAAGTTGATTTCTAGATGATGTTGTGTTGTATGTTGATGTCAGGTTTGTCGCTGCTGTTAATTATTTGTCCAAAGTAGTCCCCTTATATTTTTTGTATGTTAGTCTTGTTTAATAAATTATATTAATTTTTCCATATGAAAATACCTTATCCCCGCCCCCAATATTTTAGGGACAATTATGCTAGCTGTAAGATTCCTGGCAGTTTTTGTTTGTTTCTTTCAGGTTTTCTTCTTGTTACTCCATTGCCCCCATGCCTTCATGGCTTCTATCCTTGGGAGTTTTTGCTTGTTTGTTTTGTTCTTCTTGTAGGCAGCTGTTCTTTTCCCCGAGGAGCTCTCAGGATTTTCTCCTTGCCCTTGATATTGGGAAGTTTGGCACAATTTGTCATGATATTTTTCGGTTGGGATCTCTCTCCTGTTTGGTATTCTCTCAGCTTCCTGGATAGTCATCTCTTTTATGGTGTTAAGAAAGTTTTATTCCAGGAGTGGGATCTTTTACATGTTTTTCCTTCCTGTTCGGAAATCCCAGTAAGACATAGACTGTTCCTTTCGTCGTGTGCCACATAATTCTTGGCATTCTTCATATGCCTTGACTCCTTCGTTGATCCACTCTTTATAGATTGGAGTGGAGTGATTTGTCTTCCAGTATACGAATTCAGCTTTCCATTTATTCATTCCTATTTCTGTGCTCTTTTAAAGTGTTACCTAATTCCATTATCATAGTATTCATCTTCTGAACTTATACTTGTTTTTTTGTTGTAAAGTTTCTTGTTTTGGCTTTTTTTTTTTTCAATTGCTCTCTTGATATCTTTCTCTATTCAGTGAAAGTACCTGAAGAGCATTCTTCTAAATTTTTTTCTAATAGTTCAAGAATTTTTTTTTTCTTCAGAAAATTCCTTTGGGTTTGGGTGTTGTGCCTGTTTTTCTCCCTTATCCGTGTAGACTCAGATTGATTCCTATATCCATGACATTGTGATGCAACTGTTCACATTGGGAGGGATGCTGGGTCATGCTGGGGTGGGTGAGTCTGTCAAGTGCTGCCAAAAAGGGATGATAAAAGCCACAAAACAAAAGAGGAAGAAGGAGAAAGGCGGGAGTGGTGGGGGGAAGGATAATACAGGGGGAAAGTGCAGTTCAAAAGAAAAAAAAGAGGTTATTAAAGGCTTTGTTTGGGTAGATTTTTCCCTCGGGAGTTTTGTAACATGTTAGCAAGAGTATTAGTGAGCTGTCGTGAGACAGGAGTGGTGCTGGGCACATGACTTGGGCCACCACGAGCTGTGTGCAGTGGGGGCAGCAGCCTAGGGCCACTTGGGATAGGGCTCAAAGCTAGGGACTTCACAGGGTGGGACGGGATGGGACTGGGCATCCAGGTGGTGGGCCAGCAATATGGGGCCGTGAACCTTTTCGTCCCAGGCTCCCAACCTGATTTTAGCCTCTGACCTGAGCCCAGTGGTAAGGGAGGTGGCCTGGATATCCCACTGGCAGTTATTAGCATGATCCTGTACAGGAGTCATAAGCCTAATGCCTATCTCTGCCCCCAGCCAGCCCCCAGCCTCACCCAGCACACAGGAAGCCATCCAGGGGATGCTGTCCATGGCCAATTTGCAGGCCTCTGACTCCTGCCTGCAGACGACCTGGGGCCCTGGTCAGGCCAAGGGCAACTCCCTAGTGGCCCACAGTACCCGAAAGAATGGGGGCAGCAGCAAAGGTGCAGGCAAGCGGCTGTTGAAGAGGGCCACCAAGAACAGTTTGGATCTGGAGGAGTATGAGGAGCAAGACCACCTAGATGCCTGCTTTAAGGACTCAGACTATGGTGAGTGCCGCCTGCCCTCCTGCTTGCCCTTTGCCTCCTCCCACGTGGGTCAGAGCTCACACTGAGCCCTTTCCTGGAATGGATCACATTAGGGGTTTGACGTGCACGTGATTTTATTGTAGTCATCTGGTTGTACAGCTATCACCTCTGTCTGGTTCCTACACATTTTCATCTCCCCTAAAGGAGACCCCATACACATTAGCTGTCACTCCCATTGTCTTCCCTAGCCACTTGAAACCCACCAATCTTGTGGTCTACTTTGATGAATTTGCCCATTTTCCGCATTCTTTGATGACTAATTTGTTTCAGTCAACGTAATGTTTCCAGGTCTATCCATGTCATAGCTTGTGGCAGGACCTCAGCCCTTTTGTGGCTGAGTAATCTTCCTTTATATGATGGACCATTTTATGTTTATCTGGTTACCATGTATACTCAGGTCTAAGCCGAGTTTGTCAGCACACTTTTTTATGCAGTTTCTGTGGTAAAATTAGGTGCCTCGGCTGATATTCGGGTCGGCTTATGCTTGAATATATACAGTATCTCTTTATAGACATTTTCCCCCAATTTTAAGACTATTCTGGATAGTGTTAGGAACATTTATGTGCAGGTCTTATGCCCTTATACATTTTCAGTTTTTCGAAATGTGTACCTAGAAGTGGAATTGCTTGGGGATGTGTATTTAACTCTTTGAGGAGCTGTACACTATCTTCCATAGTCCTAGCAGGGACTTCTGAGATCCTTATATCTACCCTGTCTCTGTAGATGGATAAACAGAGACCCAGGGGGACTCTATAACCAGCTTATGAAGTCGTGCAGTGAGTTAATAACTGGGTCAGCTTCTAGTCTCCCAACCTGGGTCCCACATCTTACCTGCTGCCCAAAGCCTCTCCCAATTGAGCAGTGCCAGGCTCAGGCCAGAGCACTGAAGGGCCTACTGGTTGGGTTCCATTGAGAGGCTCTAAACATGGGACCTCTCTCCAGTCCCGAGAGCAGGACCCTGTCCGCTCCCTACTCGGCTCATTGCCCAGGGACGTTCATGCAACCTGCGGCCAGATGTGTGCTGGCCCAGGCTCACTGTCCTTTTCTTTGCAGTGCATGCAAGCACTTACGAAGGCTTTCCTTTATAGTAGCTTTATGTGATGAAGGGCAATTGTGTGGGGATCTGGTGGGTGGTAATCAAGAGCACCATGTGTGCTACTGTTCCTGTGGCCCTGATGTGTTGGCTGGGCTGGCTGCTCACATCTGGAGGACAGATTTGGGCTCTGAGGGCTGTAAACACAGTAACAGTACAGGAGGACCCTGCTTCCTAGGGGCAGGATGCTGGTCCCTGCTAGCCTCCCCCAGAACTGTAAATTGCCGGATTTGGGCTTTGGCAGCCCATAGAGGTTTAGTGTCCGTCCCCTCTAGCATGGGTGAGGGATGTTGGAGTAGCCCAGCAAGTGAGCTGGGTCACGGAGTGGGGATGGGTTTTAGAGCAGCTACAGGATGGGGCTCTGTGAGACATGTTCCCAAGGGTCATGATTTTTCACCTTGCTGGGAGCCCAGATACCCTAGTTGGATGGGGCCGGTTCCTGCTGTTCTCTGCTGCAGCTACACTGGGGCCTGCAGGCTCCTGGACTGCTGAGCAGCTATGGGTGAGGACACCACATGGAGAAGTGTTTGCTCAATAGCCTTACCTGTATCCAGGCTGGGAGCAGGAAGCCAGAGCAGTGCCAAGGGTAGACTGGGGCCCGGGGCCCGAGCCAGGTTCTGGTAGAGTAGACCAGAAAGCAAGGGCTTCGTTGTCTCTACAGGCAAATGTCAGACTGAGTGAATCAGATGGTCTTGGAGCCTAGTCTGGCAAGTCCTTGTCTCTGAACTTCGTTTCACTTTAAGAGGCTCCTTTGCACTCCCCTCACCACAGGTGGTCACATTGGGAGGTGGAGGTGGCACCCCTCTATCCACTTTCTTTGCTGATGGGATTGCTCCCTTGGCCCTGCCCTGAGGTCTGCTGGTCTTGGGTATTCAGCTGGGCTTTTCCTTCCCTTTACTCCCCTTAGTTTATCCCTCCTTGGAGTCGGACGAAGACAACCCTGTCTTCAAGTCCCGGTCGAAGAAAAGGAAAGGCTCAGACGACGCTCCTTATAGCCCCACAGGTAGTCCTGCCCTTCTCCTTTACAGCAGGTCAGTGGCAGCTTGGAAGAAAGGGGCGTTGGGGGAACAGGGGGATTAGAAGAGGGGGGGTGAGTCTGGAACTGCATTTCCGAGAAGGTGGCCTTGCAGTCGCAACATCCTGCTCTAGCCCCTAGTGCAGTTGACATGCTGCTCTTTTCAACCAGCCCTGGTGAAGAGCCCTCGTCTCATCCTCCACAGTCCTCTCCCTCGTGGCGGGACAGTGCCTCTTGTCTGGTTTCTCTCCATATCTCTGTTGACTGTGAAGGGTCTGCCTAGGGCAGGTGGGCAAGCAGCAGATCAGGGGGCCTCAGTCCATATAACCCCTCCACCCAGACTTGACCTGTGATTTGGGGGGTGGGGGAGGTGGTAGTCCTAGAGTCTCTGTTTCCTGCTTCAGTTTGCCACCTGACAGCCCCTGCTGTAAGGCTTAAACTCCAGGAAACATGAGGCTCCGGGATGACTTGGGCAGGGCCGGGAAGGAGCTCCACCCCAGCAAGGTTGGGCAGCCCAAGAGGGATGGCCTGGGGTGGCTGATCCTTCTCTCTATACAGCAAGGGTTGGCCCATCAGTGCCACGACAGGACAGACCTGTGCGTGAGGGGACCAGAGTGGCTTCCATTGAGACTGGACTAGCGGCTGCTGCGGCCAAGCTTTCCCAGCAGGTGAGGAGGGCAGGGCCCATCAGCCCTGGGTCCCTGGAGGTCATGGGCTTGGGGTGTGCCATGCGCACTAGCCTTATGAGAAGAGCCGAGGGCCTCCAGCACAGCCACTGGCATGGCACTCTTCACCGTGAAAACTTCTAAGGGCGGCTTGGAAGCCAGGCACCATATCTGGGTACTGGAATGTACCTTTGTGCAGACACCCATTTGCTCCTGGTTAAGTGTTGTCCCCTTAGGGTGTGGATGAGTGGCCATCCCATGTCACCTCTAGTCCGCACTGACGCCTGGGGGCCCAAATAGTCTGTATCTTGTCTGCATCTAAGGCCGTTAATAGGCGGAAGTCAGCACTCTCGTGCAGAGGCATCGGGGACATCTCCTTTGAGAGTTACAGGGGCACAGAATTGTGACTGGGTGGAGTATCTGTCCTATATGCCCACCTTTTAGGGTAAGCTTCATGGTGTGCCCCCCTACCCCCCACCCACCCAACCCCGCCCTGGCATCTTCAAGGGATGACAGCATTGTGGCACTGTTTGTGCTCAGAGTAGAGAGGACGAGCACACAGGAGTGCCAGCCCCTCCAGTCCTCTGCAAGCTCAGTGCTGCCTTGGGAAGAGAGCCTAAGCTGGTGCTCTGGCAGGGAGCCCCCTTGCTTGTGCTCCCCACGTGGAACTCCCGACTGCGGAGACTCATTGGAGACTGTGTCCTCTGAGAACCCAGAGGGCATGGGTCATAGCTCTGCTTTGTTCAAAGGAGGAGCAGAAAAACAGGAAGAAAAAGAGCAACAAAAAGAAGCTGACTCCAACTACCACTGCCCACTCCACCTCCTCTACCACCCCTGCCAGCACTACCTCCTCAGCCTCCACCGCCTCAGCCTCCACCGCCTCAGCCTCCACCGCCTCAGCCTCCACCTCGGCCTCTGTGGTCTCTACCACACCAGCCAGCACCAGCACGGCTAGCAGCCAGGCCTCTCAAGAGAGTAGCTCCCCTGAGCCCCTGCCAGAGGTGCCCAGCAGCAGCCTGGCTGACCACGAGTACACGGTGGGCGTGGGTACGTTTGCAGGAGCCCCAGCTGGCCGTGCCTCCCAGCCCATGGCCCCAGGGGTCTTCCTCACACAGAGGCGGTCTTCCGCCTCATCTCCCAACAACACTGCTGCCAAAGGTGAGTGCCCGCGGGTGCAGGCTCAGATGGGGTTCTCTTTGTAGGTCACAGTGCTGGGGCAGGAGAGTGCTCTGGCCCAGCATCAAGGAACACCAAGGTTGGGGGATGAGGCCCCCTTTCCCCAGTGCTGCCTTCCAGTAGGGGGGTTCAGAGGAGCCCATACAGGGCGCTACCAGCTGGTGTGTAGACAGCACGCTGTTGCCGGAGCTACCGAGATGCAGTCCTGGGCTTGGGCGTGAGAAAGGGCTTTTCCGAGCACCATGGACCTTGGTCCAGTTCCTCAGAAGCCTCCCTTCACGACGGGCCCTGGGCGGAGGCATGTGGGCAGGTCTATCAGGGACAAGGGATGAGTGCATTCTGTGGGGTGAGGCTGAGAGGGCCCTTATAGTCTGGGCAGGAAGCCCAGGCTGCAAGGTGGATAGTTCTACATGGAGCGGGGGTCAGACAGCTGATTTGCAGTGACTTGAGATGCTGCTTTGTTGCAGCAGGTGGGACAGCAGGCTCACATGGCAAGGATGGTGTTGTCCTGGAGTCAGAACCCTGGCCCACAACCCTGGGCTGTGGTCGGGGCCCCTGGGGCCCCTGTGCTTTTGCACATTATCGGCCAGACCCCAGTTCCACTGCCCCATTGAGGTCAGCCAATGAGCTAGATGCTTTGTAAATGGTGTGTGATTTCTGAGGCAGACTGGGGCCCCAGAGTGAGGGGCTCCTAGCCCATTTTACAGGGTTAGGGCTCCGAAAGAGACTTGGAGCACTCAGGGCAGCCCTGAGGGCCTTGGCAGGGTTAGATGCCCCTGGCATGCTGTTTCATACTCACCTTGTTTTTGTCCCTTCTCCTGCCCATTTATTTTAGGTAAACGTACAAAAAAAGGCATGGCCACTGCCAAGCAGAGGCTTGGGAAAATTTTGAAAATCCATCGGAATGGAAAACTGCTCCTTTAAAGTTTGGAAAGCCAGGATTCTTCTGCTCCACTCTGGACTCCCCCGGAGCACCCTCCTAGGACTGTGGCTGTACCACCTCACCCAGGGAGGGTCTTGCTTATCCTTGGCCACCATCCCCCACACAAAGTGTTTGTACCTGGAGCAGGAGGAGTTGGCAGAGCACAGCGGTCCCTTGTTTTGAAGAGAGGCACCCTATATCCAGTTGCTTAGAGTGACCAGCTCCCCAAAAGACACCTGTTGGTTTGAGAACCACTCCAGGTTCAGAACAGTCTCTGGGCCCTCCTTGAGTGTGGGTGTGCTTGCAGGGCTCCTGCAACCGTGTGGAAGCACGAGTCCTTCCAGAAGGCGGTGTGAGCCAAAGCTCCCCAGGCCCAGAGTCTGGGCTGACCACAGTCTGGTAGCCTCCAGAGGCTTAAAAACAACAAAGGACATCAGAGAGAGGCATGTGGAGATGCCCCCTTCTTTTCCTGAGTGATTCTCAGACAGGTCCAGAGAGAATTAGGCCTGATAGAGAGGGGGGTCTCGGCATCCTCCCAGCAGGTGGGGGGCAGGAAGGATAGTGGAGTCCTGGCCCGAATGCACAGGAGCATTTCTCGGGGAAAGCACAAGGACACCAGGACCAGTGGCCAGGTTGCAGTGTTAGTGGACAAGAGCTCCTCTAGAGGTCTTAGGAAGGGTACAGGCTCAGCCATGTCTAGGGGCCCAGGGGGCCCGGGCTAAGCCAAATGGGTGGGCCTGACCCAGCCTGGTGAGGCACACTCCTGAAGAAGCACTTCTCGGCCGTGGTACCCCCACCCTGGGGCTGGCATAGCCAGGACGGCAGATGGGGTGGGCTGAGGACAAAAGGACTAGAAACTGCTCTGTCTCTGTGTGCTGGCATCTGGTGTCAAGTGCATGGACGATACCTGAAAGGTGTGTCCACCCATTGGCGCAGAGAGGCTGGATTTGTTTCTCAGGCAATCCTGAATTTTAATTTTAGATGTATTTCCTGAAGCATATTTTTCATAGAATGTAGCATGTAAATAGCTTTTTAAATAACTTCTTTTTTATAAGAGTAAAAGTATCTTTAGAAATTTCTTTCTATAGATTCCTCCATTAACATTTATACGAGTTTTTTGCCAAGTATTATAAAACAATTGGGTTCCAGTGCTTTTTTCCCCCCCTTCTTTTTATTAGTTTTCCTTTAGGAACTAAGGTATTGCCTGAAAAACAAGTAATATCTGTGCAGCCTTATCCTCTGTCTCCACAGAAGCAAATCATACACAAAAGATGTATTGCAGACACATTTTGAAGATGAGTCTTCAACTTTAATACCAGCTCTTTGTTTTCCTTCTTGTATGATGAGGGGGTTGGGGATACAATTATTTTACTAGCACCTTGTGAAGTGTTTCTGTGTTTTGTGATGATGTAATTTATTAATGTTTGTAGCTTTTTATATTTGTACATTTCTTAAGAGCTTTGTTTATATACCCATTACCTGGATGTTACATCCACAAGAAACAGCTTCGTGGAGGCCTTATTAACTCCTATTTGTCCTGTTATGAGGGACATGGTCCCAAGGGCCATGAGGCTGGGAGAGGAAGAGCCTCATGGGATCCTAGACTTACTCAGAACCGACATTTCTAAAGTTCCTTTGCCCCTGTCCTTGTTGAACATTTATATAACTTAACCTGGGCATCAAGCTGTTCGCTCTCTTTTTTTTAATTTTAATTTTATTATTATTATTATTATTTTGGCAACATGTACATTTCTAACAAAGTTTATTGTGGCTGTTCAAGTGGTTTATTTCCCAATTCATATTACTCTTGTATTGAGTCCATGAGGTCTAAGACAACTTTAGATCAAAGTTTTAAAAAAGTAAAAATATTTCAGGTTTTGTACAGAACCACGTTTATGTCATTTGTGTCATTCACCGTGATGGTGAGAATGGTGGAGGGGCAAGTGAACCGACCTGCCGATGCTGGGCACCACACGGCCATCTGTGAGTGATGGGCAAAGTGCGGCCTTACCCACTGGCACCACCCTCCCACAGTGCATGCCTGACCCCACCCCTAAAGCGGGCTGCAGGGACAGACGAAGACTTATTTGGCCCCAGAGTTCAGCACGTGGGCACAGACTTTGAGACCACGGGCCTCCCCTGACTTTCAGAGGCACAGCTATGGTCTGGCTCAGTGGGCCCTCCTGTGTGCACCCCAGGGCAGGTTGGCATGGAGAAGACACTCGTCACCCAGCAAACGTAGAGCTGACGAAAACAAGAACAAACTCGAAGCCCCTTACAGAGGCTCTGGGGTGACCCTAAACGTGATAAGGGATACTGAGCGCAGACTCGGGGACTGTCCATGGTGAGTGGTGACAGACCTATGCACGGGGACAGACAACATCACCAACAACTAGTTCACTGCTGAAAGCAGCCGTTTGGTGCAGAGCGGAGCATAAAGGTTGTCAATTAGGTTAGCACCACAGAGACTGGCCCTGGAGGTGCGTCTGATCATGTGATGGGAGAGGTGGGGGATAAACAGGGGTAGCTGCTCAGTCATCTCAAGCGCAAAGTGCCTGCCAAGGACACTGCTGATAAGGAATGACCCCGAGGCATCCAGTTTGGGGCAGAGGTGGGTAGAGCCCTTCTGTGGACACCTGGTCAAACCTGGAAACCCCCTGTGGGAGCAGTGCCCCCAGACTGCTGCCCGGGGCTCCCATCCCTGAGGGCAGGCCGGGAGGGCCAGCTCTGAGGCCTGTAGGAATGCTTTGGCTTGGTTTGGTCTTCCACTACTCGAAGTCTGGTCTTCCACTACTCGAAGTCTGGTCTGGTTTTCACGATGAGGCAGCCAAGGCACCGTGGTCATTCTTAATGCACCGTAGAACGCGAGTGGACAGGCCTCTTTTCTCTGACTGCTAGTTTCTTTGCTGCCCTGTTGGATGCTCTGAGGAGACACTCCCCCAATGAGACTGAGCCCCAGAGGGGCCCTTCCAGGTCTAGGATTGAGGTTAATGTGGTAGAGTTGGCCTGCTCCGTGTCCAGGGGGTAGCTGCCATGAGGGGCGTCCTGGGCCCACGCTACCCTGGTTGCCCAGTGTCTCTGACATTGCCGTGGTGTGTAGCTTCCCAGGACAGGCACTTAGGTCTTTGTGGGCAGCAGCGTTATGCCTACTCAGATCGAGCTAGGGTCCTTCTTCTGGGGTCGCCACCCTCCGGTCCACAGGATGTACTGGAGTGGTAGCCCCAGAATATTCCCTCTAGATGACCTCCAAGCCCCCACCATGCTCTATCTTACTGAGCGCTGTGCTCAGTGCCGTTGTAGCCAAGTTATCAGGGTCTTCACTGAGACCTACCCCCATCCCGGTCAGAACTGAGACCTCAAGAGCATGTCAGAGGTGAGGGCCCAGTCGAGGACAGGAGGGAGAACCCGGACACTGCCTGGGTCACCCTTACTGAGCTAGCTCTGCTGCTCTTTTGTGTCTCTTGGCAAATTGGTGACCTGAATGTGTGCCCTGCTCTCCCCAGTTGGGTCCTGTGCTTGGGCCTGAGGCTGTGCACTCAAAGGTGAGCCCCCCC